GCAATCCACTCACCTCAGCCTCCCAAGGCACAGGATTACAGGCTGAGCCACCGGGCCCGGCTTGTTTTAAAATTTTTTAAATAAAATTTTATTGTAATGTAATATTCCTATCTAAAATGCATAAATAAGTATACAGCTCAGTGAATGTTCAAACTGAAAACACCCATATAATCAGTATTCTACCTAAAAAAGAAATAGATTACTAGTGCCCTGAAATGTCTCCTTTCCCCAAATTGGTAACTACTATCCTGACTTAAAAAACCATAGGGTTAGCTGGGCTTGTTGGCTCAGCCTGTAATCCCAGCACTTTGGGAGGCTGAGGTGAGTGGACTGCCTGAGCCCACAGGTTCCAGACCCACCTGGGCAACTTGGTGAGACCTCACCTCTACAATAAATCAAAAAATTAGCCAGGCCGGGCGTGGTAGCACGCGCCTGTAGTTCCGGCTACTTGGAAGGCTGAGGCGGAAGGAACAAAAAATCAGCCGGGCATAGTAGCGCATGCCTGTAATTCCGGCTACTAGGAAGGCTGAGGCAGAAGGATCGCCGGAGCCCAGCAGGAGAGGCTGCGGTAGCCGGGAGCGGCCACTGCATTCCAGTCTGGGCGACCGAGTGAGACTCCAACTCAAAAAAAAAAAGAAATGGGGAGTGGTTGTAAATACAAAAGAAGCTTTCCTTGCTCACCCACCACTCACCTCCTGCTGTACAACCCAGTTCCAAACAGGTCACATACTGGTACCTGTCCATGGCCTGGGGGTTGGGGACCTTTGTTGTAGAGTATGCATATATTCATCTTTCATAGATAACTCTCAAACACTTGTGTAAAGTTGTTTCCAATTTAGACTCCCATCAGCGATGTATAAATTCTAATTGCTCAACATTCTTGTCAGCATTTACAACACTTAATATAGCCAGATTTTCTGGTTTGTTTCAGTCATTTTGGTGGTATGTAGTGGTGATGCAATGAGGGTCTTTTTTTGTTACTTTGTTTTTGTTTTTGAGTGAAGTCTCACTCCATCGCCCAGGCTGTAATGCAGTGGCAAGCTCATGACCACCCCACCGTCGACCTGTGGCCACTGGCAATCCTTCCGCCTCGGCCTTCCAAGTAGCGGGAACTACAGGCCTGCGCTACCACGATCAGCTAATTTTTTGTTTATTGTAGAGGCGAGGAATCGCCAAATTGCCGTGGGCTCAGGCAATCCACTAGTCTCAGTCTCCCAAAGTGCTGGGATTACAGGTTGAGCCACCAAACCCTGCAATGAGGTTTTAATTTGCATTTCCTTTATGTCTATTGAGCCTGAGTACCTTCCCATATGTTTACCGGCCATTATGGATGGATATTGTCTTTTGTAATATTTTGACTGTTTAAAAAACTGGAGCTGGGCACAGTGGCTCACACCTCTAATCCCCGCATTTTGGGAGGTGGAGGAGAGAGGATTGCCTGAGCCCATGGGTTCAAGACCAGCCTGGGCAACATGGTAAGACTTCATCTCTACAATAAATAAATTTTTAAAAATTAGCTGGGCATGGGGGCGCATGTCTTTAGTTCCGGCTATTTGGAAGGCTGAGGTGGAAGGATTGCCTGAGCCCAGCAGGTTGAGGCTGGCTGTGAGTGTGTGGTGGCTGTGAGCATGCCACTGCACTCCAGCCTGGGCAACAGAGTGACTGCTACTCAAAAAAAAAAAATTGGGTTGTCTGCCTTTCTCTTACTGGTTTGTAGAGGTTCTTTATACATTCCAAACATGATCTTTTACACATAGCTGGAAATACTTTCTCCCTCTCTGTAGCTTCCCTTTTCACTTTTTCATGGTATACTTTAATTTTTTTTTTTTTTTTTTTGAGTTAGAGTCTCAGGCTGGAGTGCAGCAGCATGCTCACAGCTACTGCAGTCTCGATTTGCTGGGCTCAGGTGATCCTTCTGCCTCAGTCTTCCAAGTAGCTGGGACTATAGCCATGTACCACACACCTGGCTAATTTTTCAGTTTACTGTAGAGATGAAGTATTGCCAAATTGCTCAGGCTGGTCTCGAACCCCTGGGCTCAGACAATCCTCTTGCCTCCACCTCCCAAAGTGCTGGGATTATAGGTATGCACCACTATACCTGGCATATTTTAATAATTGTAAAATATTTTCTTATTTTTTAACATAGTCCAATTTATTCATTTTTTTCCTTTATAGTTATAGTAGTTTTTGTGTCTCATTTAAGAACCTTAAGATCATAAAGACATTCTTGTATTTCAGCTTCTAGTAGTTTTATTATTATTATTATTATTGAGTCAGAGTCTCACTCTGCAGCCCAGACTAGAGTGCAATGGTACGCTTACGGCCCCCACAGCCTCGACCTTCTGGGCTCCAGCGATCCTTCCACTTCAGCCTTATGAGTAGCTAGAACTGCGGGTGCGTGCTACCATGCCCAGCTAATTTTTTTTATTTATTGTAGAGACGAGGTTTCACCAAGTTGCCCATGCTAGTCTCAAACCCCTGAGCTCAGGCAGTCCTCTTGCCTTGGCCTTCCAAAGTGCTGGGATTACAGGCTTTAGTCACCGCACCTGGCCTATTATTTTAACACTTACATTTAGATCTACAATTCTTTTTTTTTTTTTGAGTTGGAGTCTCACTCTGTCGCCCAGACTGGAGTGCAGTGGCCACTCCCGGCAACCGCAGCCTCGACCTGCTGGGCTCTGGCAATCCTTCTGCCTCAGCCTTCCAAGTAGATGGAATTACAGGCACGCGCTACCACACCTGGCTAATTTTTTGATTTATTGTAGAGATGAGGTCTCGCCAAGTTGCCCAAGTGAGTCTCGAACTCGTGGGCTCAGGCAATCCACTCACCTCAGCCTCCCAAAGCGCGAGATTACAGGCTGAGCCACCGAGCCTGGCTTACAATTCATTTTTAAGTGATTTTTGTGTACAATATGAAATAGGAGGGAAATCAAGGTCATTTTTTTTCCTTCATAATCACCTGACCCAAATGACCCAGCACTATTCCATTATAGTATCACCTTCATCATATAAGTGTCTATAGATATGGATCTGTTTCTGTACTCTTTATTCTGTTCCATTGGGCTAATTGTCTATCCTTGAGACAATACCACACTGTCCTAATAATTGGAAATGTATAGGTCTTGCTATGGGTAGAAATAGTTTGGGACTTTTGTTGTTTGTTTGTTTGAGTCAGGGTCTCACTCTGTTGCCTAGGCTGGAATGCAGTGGCACAATCATGGGTCACCACAACATCCAATTCCTGAGCTCAAGAAATTATCCTGAATCAGCCTCCTAAGTAGCTGGGACCCCAGGCATGCACCACCACATGCTGCTAATTTTTTTTTTTTTTTTTTTGTAGAGACAAAGTCTTATTATATTGCCCAGGCTGGTCTTAAACTCCTGGTCTCAAGCAATTCTCCCACCTCTACCCCCTAAGAGCTGGGATATAGGC